ATCATCACCACGTACACATAATGTGTGGGGATTGTGGAAGTGAAGAATCAACAATAAATGAACAACTATAATAATACTACTACTAATACTATCACAGCTGAGAAGAACAGACATCAAAAAAATATATATAGATGATGAAAAAATATACATATCGAAATTTATAGAGATATCTTGAATTTAACCTTTACATATTTTAATATATGCGTAGTTATCATTCTCTTTTATTTGCCTATTTGACAAGAGATAAGAAATGTTTCCAATTTTAAATTCTATTTAAGTGATCAGTAGTTTCTTTTCATAAATTTTATCAACTTTAGTTGTTGAATTTGTCTGTTAAAATTAAGATGAACTTATTATTACAATTTAAAATCTATAATGTGTTCAAATTTTTGAATATTCTAATCACAATTCTTTGAATGAACTAAGATCTATAAAATAAAGTAAAGGAAGAAAAAAATCTTAAAATCTCAAATTTGAATGAAATATAATCACATTGATGGGAAGGAACTATTCAAAGTTTATTCCAACTGGACTTGCTCTATCTTTCCTCTCTTTCAACTAATTTTTTTAGTGAAAAGGTCTGATGCTAGATGCTAAACGATCGGCAATGCTATGACCATTCAGCCTGTTTTGGTTTGATGAATATTGTTATTTTTCTATTAGAGCTTCCAGATACGCTTGTATGTGGACAAAATGTTTGATTTGAAGCGAGAGTAAAACGATTTGTTAATAATTTGTAGTCACAGGGAAAAAGTGCAAAAGTTCAGTATAGAGACTTCAAGTTTTTTAAAACTGAAAGATGTCTGATTTTAAATATTTGCTCTTTTTAGAGAAATCTGAAGAACGAGAGGGAAAGACATTCATGGCCTTCTATTGTTCAATACAAAAATCATCGACGATGAGACAGCTATCTCGTATAAAATGACGTTTTATTAAACATCAGCAGTTTACATGTTGATAAGGTTTTCTTTCAAGTTCGATGAAATTTTAAAATTTTTCAGAAAAAATTGAATCATAAAAAATTTCTCTCTATAGACAAACATCAATTAATAATATGATAGAGGTCACCATATATTGACACATACCTTTTTCAAGTAATATCCAACTTTACAATCATAAAAGTCAACTAGAAAAGTTTTGCCTACATAGTTACATTAGAGATTAGTTTATTTTTTAATAATAATATTGAAAAATTTTCTTACTCTAGTTTAAACAGTGTTCGCTCGTCAAACGCAAGGAAAGTTTGAAAAACAAAACATATCTTTTAACTAATTGTTTGTTATAGACCTTCAATTTGTAAAAAATTGTGCAAAGGAAGTATTTTTTTTTCTTCTTTCAAATTATTGATATTAAACCGTCTTGTTTGACATACATATAGTATGTGTGCATCAATATAAAAAAAGAGCGAAAAGAAAACTATCTCTACCTCTTGTTTTTTTCAGTTTGGTGTTTTTTGACATATAATATAAGACTAAATGAAAACAACCGTGTAGTAAGTAAGTCCTCATTTATAGTATTCTCTTCCTCGTCTTTTAGTCTTTTCCCCATTCTTGTTCGAGTTTTTTCATCACTTGTATGATCTATTTTATCACACATGAAAAAGGCACGCACATATACACACAATAAATACAAAAGAAAAATTAATTTTTTTCTTCTTATTTCTTGTGTTTTTGGTCGTTTATCAAAAAATATGAATATATTACATAATCCTACAAAAAATTAGTATAAAAATGTTTTTGTTCTTGTACGGGTGAATATTTATCTATATCTCAGTCTGACTACATAGAATCGAATGCTATTTTTTTTCACCGCAAATGTTTAATAGGGATGATGACTATCTACTTGTGGAAAAAAAGAAATTTTTCGTCTTTCTCTTCTATTTTTTCTTCTCGTCTACTGAAGTTTTTAAACAAAGACACTCAAACACTCATGCAATGTTTTTATTTCATAAGTATGTTTAGTTATCAGAGGAGTGGCGAATAGAGTTTAACCTCTTTCTGATTTCTGATACTTTTTTCTTCGATTTTCAAATTTCTTGCAAAAATGATCAGTATGTCAAAAAAATGTAGAAAGCGTTCTATAATTTTAGACATTTTTTTTACGCCCCTCTCCATTGTCTTTAGATTTTCGCGACGTCCCCGTTAGTTATAGAGGAATGAGGATAATACAGAACAATTTGATTTTCCACTAAGATAGATAGATAAATATAGATTTACGTATACACTTCAAGTAAGAAGAGAAAAAGAAAAGAAATCCGTCAAACAACAACTTCTCTCAAACTGTTGCCGTATTATTAGAACAACTATGACACACCATACATATAGAAGAAGCAGTCAAATTGACTGACTGACAATTATTTTTTTCTCTTTTATTATTCCGACTAAGAGACAAATTACCACAAGTGAAGAACTAACTATTCGGAAGAGTATTTTCAATAGATTTATCATGATCTTAGAGTATTCTGTTTTCTTGATACGTGTCATTTCAATAATGTTTCATACAGTTACAAACATTGATACAACACAGTATAGATAGAATAGATATCGATATCAGTTTCTCCATTTTGGCAGTCTACCAGACTTCAGTACTAGCCTTGTAGATCAGCTAATTCCCAGTAGGACGAGAAAACTACATTTTGGAGAAAAATGAGGAAAAGTTTGCAAAGAAAATCCTAACAGTTGACTTTTAAGCACTTTTTAGCCTAATTTTCTTCTTAATGAAGCATACTGCATGGAATTCAAGTCTCTAACATGAAAGAGTAGACTAAGAACTAATAAGAGCGACTTGTATGACATTTTACAGGTAGTATAGTTGTCTGGCAGCTAAATAACTTACTAAAATAGAAAAAGAAAGAATCCTTTATCCATCGCACAACTAATCTTTATAACGATACCTACTGTCTATCATATACATCATTCTTTGCGAAAAATCAGTGAATAAATGATGCAATTACATTGTTCGATAATGATGATCAAATATATGTTGACACATCAGTAACATAACTAAAGAGAAGGGAAATGGGCGTCGAATGTCCGAGCTTTTTCAGAGTTCATCTCATACAAATCATTTCATTGTCAATTATTTGCCCCTCTATCAAGTCTTGTTAATGACATTTTGTACCAATGACGCCTCAAGTATTTTGTAATATGAGACAGGTTTTTATATTACTTTAAAAACAGATATGCGAATCAAGGCTCTGATATACTGATCCCGTCTCGAACCCACAAAAATACCCCGTCATCCTTCTAGTTTGAAAAACAAAGAAAAAAATAAATAATAAAAATTTTCTTTCTAGGAAATCTTTTGGAAAATATTTATCTTTTCTCAAAACCTTTTTTCGAAAAAAATCTGCAAGATGTGACGAGGACCTTTTCCTACCGAATTAAAAAATTCGGTTTGATTCTCTCTTCATTGGTATATTTCTTACCGTGGAGAGAAAAACATTTAAGAATATCTTAGGGAAGATGGAAATGACACTCACAGAAAAGATGGTTTTGATAGAAAAATACTTTTAGTCCAACGAAAAAATGTTCTGTCCGTTTATGCCTCGTCCTTTCTTTTACCTCACTCATGGCCTTGTACGAGTGTCAAAAAATTCTGGTTGCAAAAATGATATTCAAGTTGGTAAGAGAATTTATTTGAAAGTTAAACAAGTAAATTTATCCACAACTGAACGTTAATCAAGAGTTTTGACAAAAATGTATGTAATTCATTCAGCCAAGTTCGGTAACAGGAAAAGAGATTCATTATTGAGATAAAGATCAGAAGCATTTCAGATTTCTGACACTGTACGAATCAAAACGTCAAATTTTGTTTTTGTCTATTTTTCTTATCCTATATACCGGTTAGTAATAAAGATATCTTTTTTATGAATGACTGTTGCAACTTCTTAGCGTTCCTGTAGCACTACCCATCTGAATGTTAGAAGAACTGAAGAAGATAATGCTTTATCTTGGCTGCTGAAAGTATTTTGAGAAAGTTGAACGTATTGTGAAGTGAAAAACGACACTTGCAGGGTGATTCTTGGTCATTTTTGTTGAATATTCATACTGGGCCAGTTTCTTACAGAAACCGTTTCCCATCCTTTCGAACTTCTTCAAGGTTAATTAATTATGACTAAGTAATCTCAACTTGATAAAATTTAAAACATTTTCGTTCATAGATTTTCAAACAGTATAGTGCATCGTATTCAATATTCCCTTCATTCACCGGTCGATTGATGACAAGATCTATTGGTGACAATACGACTTCAGTCAATAAAAGCACACATAAGATGAAAATAGCCAGGAGTCATTCGATCAAATTGTTACGAAACTATCTTGTATGATCATGTTTTAAGAATTTGACAAATGAAACAAAATAGAAGGTGGCATGTATCATTAAATTATATTTGATCACGCAAAGTGAATGTCTACACTTGTTTTTGTTTCTTTGAATAAATATTAGCCTCGTAAAATAGAAAACAACTTTCATTGACATCGGTTATACATTATCTATTATTCATTCTCACAACAACTGTCTTTCAGCTTGACACGTACTGAGATGTATCAGTTAGATATTTTCTAATTTATCATGACTAGAAATGTATCAGTTTATATGATGGTATGAATAACTTTCACGATAAAGTGAAAAATACCCACTACTACGTTGTATCGATCTTTTTGTTCTCACTGATATATCTATAATGTGAAATAATTTCCAAAGTAACAGAATATATATTTTTACTATTAACCTAAATAGATAAGTATCATCATTTCAAATATCAATTTACAATCAGAGACTCTTCTTTTTTTTGTAAGAAAAATCACGACATTATTTTTTTAATTAAAAAGACTAAATGATAGATGTAATTCTTTATTTACATACAAAGAACCACAACAATAAATATATAGCAGAAATATGAGAAAAAAATGACAGGGGCATATGTATACAAATAAATTTTACTTCTTTTTCTAACTCATTTTTTGAAACTGGCCCATTTCAATATAGTAAAAGAAAAGCTAAACTTTAGGTGGAGGTTCTTTCAAGTTAAGTTCATGACGAAATTGTGTTATTGGTTTATGCCAATTTTTTTCGAAATAAATATTCATTAGTAGACGTGATTGACGAGCAGATCGAACTATCCATGGTAAAGTTATATTCAAGTATTTGGCGGTATGCCTAAAAAGAGAATGAGAAAATTTGAAACAAGCGAATAAATAAAAGAAACTGAAAAATACATACTTTGGACCCAATCTAAGAGGGCCAAAAAACGCAGCTAATACACACATGGGTAATCCATATTGAATACCTTCAAACCATTTCACTGTAACTTCGCCTATGAAAGACAGAAAACAGGATCTAAAAGGGATTCTTTATTGATATAGTGGAACAATCAAGAGTTATGAGTCATTCTAAAAGCACTATTGATCTGTCCATTTCATTCATTGCAGTAACATGAACGTTTTTTAAAGAAAAATTTGTATTTAATACACAAGATAGACTGGAAAACTATAACTTATACTCCATCAACTTCGATAAACAAATGGAGCAAGAAAAAAGTCTTATGTCTAATTATTCAAAGAAATGCAGTATTGTTCTACAACGACTAACTTACTCATAACTCTCAAAAAAACTTAAAGAGTGTACACATTTTCAATGATTCTAGGAGAAAATTTAACTTTTACCTAGCATATTTATAGGCATCCCTAATGTAACATGTGTCAAATCATGAATTTCTCTATAACGTCTCATTATATAGGCCAAATCTCGATCATCAATAAAATTTACTGGTCGTCGAGCGTCCGGTGTTAGTGTCTCTCAAAAAAAAAAAAGAAAAGAAAACTGCAGAGAGATCAAGCTGAATTTTAATAGAACTTTACACTTACATATTTCGATAAAAAATTCGAATATTCTTTTCCTAAAGTGCCTGCTGGTAACATTTTCAATTGTTCTAAATCAACTGTGCTTGAATTTATGATAGGACGATCACTAGATGAAAAGCAGAAAACCTTGAAATATATATTGAAACAAAAAAGATAACCAACCGTAAAATTTGTTCGCCTTCTGGATCAAGAATCATTTTTTGTTGAATATATTTCAAAGCCAATGATCCAGTTGTTTCGCCAAATACTGAAATCATATCTGAGACAAAAAAAATAAAGACATTAAATGTTCATAGTAGAACATGTAAAATGTCTTATATGTACCATCTCTTGAAGGATCAGAAATTGACATAATACCAGAGCCAACTGCTAATAAACTTTTTTGTAGAAAACTTGTTGGTATATGTGAAGAATAAAGTCGATCCATCTAAAAAAAATAACTGATTCTTTGGATTTACAGAAAATGACCTGATGAACATTAACTCAAAACGTTCTTCTTAGATACTTTTTCTTGCTAAAAACGATAATATTCCACTTAGTGGCATTTATTACAAGAAATGAACAATGGACACGTAAAATATACAAAAAATCATGCTGAAGATAGCAAAAAAAACCACTTTACACTATTAATATTATTTCATAGTAGAAATCTCAAGAATATAACATACAAGTTATGACAGTTCAAGTAATTTATTTATCTTAAAAGATAAAATCATAAAAACTGATCTCCTCTGGTTGTGATTGATGAACTGTTATCAATTGACTATCACTTTTGTCAACCAAGCAGCGCATTGTTGAAGATGAAATGGCCTGTCTAGAACAAACAAAAGTCTGAAATATATTGAAATCTTTTGCATAAAATTTAGATTTCTGCTTTCTTTTGTCTATTTCTATTACTGCTTTGAGTCAATAAATATACCGAAATGATGAATACAAAAAGTTCGTAATAGATATAAACACACGTACACGCATTTGTTCTCGAATATCGTTGTTTGTTCAATTAGGCGATAGGATCTAATGGACGATTGAAACCACCTTTTCGATTCATATATTGTCTAAAGAAAAAGAAGATCAGATCAGTTGAAAAAATAAAGATAGAACTTTTGAGAAAGAAGAGATACCATGCCAAGAGAAGAGAGAACTTTGCAAGGCAAATTTAAAATCTGACTGGATTCTAATTTTGCATACAACAGATATATTAGATTTCTCTTTGTACAGCTAGTTTCTTCGCTTTTTTCGTTTCAAACTTATTTTATCAAGAGAAAGCTCTGATCTACCTGTAACGTCGTTTTTGTTGTATATTGGCTGCAAATGCATTTGTTGATCCTTCCGTATGTTTACCCTAAATAAAATGAACAAATGAAATGATTAAAAACTAAAAGTAGAAGTAGAAAAGATCTTACTTTTGTTGTATCAAATGTTGCGAATCCCATTGTTTTCATCATTTCAATTTCATCTTCTGTTTTTCCTTCTAATTCCGATGCTAAAAAAATACATTTTTCTCAATTTAGCAAAAACAGTACAGCTTTTGATAACACTTACGATCAAATATTCGTGTAGGTGGTTCGTATCTATCACTTTTTTTGTCTGATGGACGAACTAATTTATTTCCAAATGCTTCACCACGAAACGCTTTTGGTGATGTTGAACGAGATTTTGTACGCTGTCGTTGATTACGATCTCGACGATCTCTGTCTCGCTCTCTTTCATACTCTCGAATTGGAGAACGGGAATGTGAACGTCGTCGTCCTAAATCTCGGCTTCTACCACCACCCGGCGCACCACGATATCTTCGATCGAAACGCTCTAAAACATAAAAGAAAACATTTTTCACTAGAAAAATAAAATAGCAATTGCTTCTTTTACCTCTTGGACTTTTACTACGACTTCGTGGCATATTTTCAACTTTAATAAGATAATCTGAAACAAAAAGTAATTAGATATATGGAGAAAGATTTTCATATTAGAAATGTGGAAACGAAAAAGACGACTTTAACATCGTTTTCAGTCGAACAAAAGTACAAATATTTTTGAATTTTTTAAGCAAAAATGCAACGCTACAAAAAAGAAAAGTAAAAATGAAACAAGAAAAACACATGCTCAAAGTTCATTTTAATAGCGTGTAGCATCTGATTGAGTAAAATGCATATCTATGAACGTTATTAAGCAACAGGTCTAATGCTCATCGAAAACTGAAAGAATTATGTCCTTACATAATAAAAGATTTTTGATCAGTTGTTCAGACTTTTCCTCTAAACGAAAAAATCAGAGCACGCTAGAAAGATGATATTATACTAAAGTTTCTAGAATAGATATCAATACTGGTGCGATTAAAAGAGTAGATATAGAAATCAAGAAAAATAATTGAATCAATAAATAAATTAAACAGATAAGCTTAACAAAAGCACACTGTTCTTCTCTAGTTCTACTATCTGTTCATAAAAAGAATAATCCCGATATTTTTAGAATAACCTTTTAACGAAACGAGCAAGAATGATGCGGTTTTCACTATCGGATAGAGGAAATGACGGGAAGTGAAATTATGAAAAATAAGGTCTTCAGATAAGGTAAACCTTTCAAAACAAAGTCGAGAAGCTGTCGACCTTTAGAGAAAAAGGGATTTTTAATTTTAAAATGTTGATTCTATCCTCGGAAGTGTGCTCTTTAAAAATACACAAGTCTCATCTTTCTACCTCTTTTGGCTCGCGCGTTACAGGCACTTTTCCAGGACCAACCTATCCTTCACAGTTTTGCCTTGGGAACTACAAAAAGAGATGGATTATAGGGTTATTGACATCGCTGATCATCGTGACAATGTTTATTTTCTTTCTCAGATTACAGAAAGTTCAGCTGAGCCGATTTTTTCAAAATCCACTTTTTCTCGTATGTTCATGTAAAATTAAAATATGCATAACTCAGTCATTTCTCATCCATTTCGATCCATGGTTCAAATCCAATTTTTTCGATCTGATCTATAATCCATGACATGTTTTGAATATGCCCTGAAAATGATAGTTTGTCTGGATGAGAAATAACTGAGTTATGAATGTTTTAATTTTACATGGACATAGGAGAAAAAGTGGATTTTGAAAAAATTGACTCAGGCTAACTTTCTAGGAAAAAAGCTGTATAAAGAAGGTTCTATTTTTCTCCTCTAATTCAAGATGCATAACTGATGCTTCGCGTTTAGATTTGAAACGTGTACGCTTTGCGAAAAAAACATTGCGAACGCGTACGCTTTGGTTCAAGCGTACCCGTACGCTCACCAGATAAATTCTGTTAGAAACACTGTTTACCATTTTCATTATTATTACTCAAGCATTATACGGAACGAATATGAGCAACGTCATTGGATAAAACTTTGGTGAATAAGAATGTTTCCACATATGTCGCTTAGTGTCTAGTTGGAAATGAACTGGGTACTTCATTTGAGATCATTATGAGTTCTTTTGGAATGTTTTGTGTCATTTTATTACGTCGTATTTAAAAAATTGACTTGGTTAACAGAAAGTCATCACCCATTTTATAAGAAATATGTGTCCTATCTGATAAGTGTTTTGTACAGAGTTGTCGAGTCTTCTGATTTTTAACCTTTTTTAATTTTGTACTGGAGAAGATGATATTGTATTCAGAATATCAGGTCCAAAATATGAAAATCACAAAATAAAAGTTCAAACTTAGAAAAAACTCAGAAAAGGTGGTTCAGATTCAATGAGAGTTTTTCGTCTTTATTATCAGCTTATTGTAACACAGCTTCTCGGCAAATCATTAGATATTTTTATATTTCGCAAGGAAATTGCGCTAAATTTAATGATGAAAAAAGCAATTAATCATTTCTAAAAATGAGTGAATAATCATCGGTACATTGCATGAAAAAAAAATTGCTTTATGTCTCTGAACAACTGAATTACCTGATTATTGCATAATGTTTTACCCAGCTTTTTCTTCCAGAATATGATGCAAAAAGATGAGATATGTAACTCGTAGTGAGGATGCAAAGTTAGCGGTGAAAATAAGATCAAAACATCAGGTCAATCTAAAAAATTTCATCAGCTCCACGGAACCAATGCGAATTAAGGTAGACAAGACAGTCTCTTCTTGGAGCTACTATTTGGAGCATAACATAAAAGAAAACAATCATAACCAATTTTAGGCACGTAAGCCGTCTTGACTTTCTATTGGTTAGCGCACAAAACAAATAAAATAGTTGTACGTAGAAACGAGCGCTGCTAAAGTAGGTGCGTGCACGCACCATAGTGATAAAAAAACTTGCAAAAGTCGAGAAAACCCTTTTAATGTCCTGGAGTTTGAAGCAAATCTAAGCATAATGATAACAGTCCCTTTCACTACTTCATAGCGAGTTAAACCCTATCCTATGCTCAGCAAATAACATTTTTTACAAATCTCTCTTTAATGGTGATGTCATGTCGCTGGTGAAGAAACAGTTTCATAAAAGAATGTACGCTAGCTTTTTCATCACAGAACTAATTTTGAAATTCTGTATAATCTTTCATCAGCATAAACTCTATTTCAGCATGTTCTTACTACATTCCCTTTGTCTCTCTTTCTTTCTTTCTCTCTCTAATATATATATATATATTTATATCGAATATCGACTATGAAAAGAATTCCACATTTTTCTTGGTTGTGGTGATTACATCCATACGTTGACATTTCTTCTGATTTTATTTTTTACACTAAACTTTCAAGCATATTATTTCGTGTTTGTTGTTAAAAATTTCTAAGCACATTCTATTTTAGATTATCATTCATCTTTTCTTGGATCTCATTTTTAACCATGTCTAACACCGGCAAAGGCGTAAGTTTTGATTGAATCTTCTAGACGCAAGGCCATTTTTTTGATTTCATCGTTATTTATGTTTAGACACTTTATACTTATCCCGGTAATATTCATGCGTATAAAGCGCAAATCGCTGCCCGATACAGCGGTGCAAAATTAACTGTTGCGTCCGATGATAAATTTCAAATGAACGAAACAAATAAGTCCGAACAATATTTGAAAAAATTTCCAACTGGAAAGGTAATTTTAGACAGTAGTTTTAATTAGGATTTGATTAATTTCTGTTTCTGTTTATGATTGAAGGTACCTGCCTATGAGAATGATGTTGGTGTGTATTTGTTTGAATCCAATGCCATAGCTCATTATTGTAAGTATCTCGAAAGCAAATGCTGCGATTTTGCGGCAAGAAAAGAAAAATAAACATAACTTTATTGACGATAAATATGAGACATCAATATTTGTTTGTGTTTTCTTATTTAGTATCAAATGAACAATTACGTGGTAATACTTTAGAAGATCAAGCATCTATAATTCAATGGATGGAATATGCTGAAAGAGATATTATACCAGCATCATCCACATTAGTTTATCCGTGTATGGGTATTCTTCAGTTTAATAAATTAAATAATGAACGGGCGAAAGATGAACTTAAAAGTATTTTACATTTATTGAATGAGCATCTTCGTACAAGAACGTATCTTGTTAGTGAACGTATTACGTTAGCTGATATCGTTGTTGCTTGTGATTTGTTATTACTGTTTCAATGGGTAAGAAATCAAAATATAATCTAATTTTCCTTCAGTTTAGTTTAGAAACTTCTTTCAGTGCTTTCTTTCCTAGTCGAATCGTACTTTTCTGCATAAAATAGAACTACAAATATAGTTTTGCATAGACAATTTTTTTGTTCATGTTCGCAGTGAACTTACAAGAAAATAGAAACAATAATCTACTGAACCAATGGCTAAATAATCTGATGATTTTTTCCACAAAAGAAGAATCCTTGTCTATCATTTTTTCTATCGATATTTTAGATTCTTGAACCTGTTCAACGTGAATTATATCCAAATACAACAAGATGGTTTACAACATTAATTCATCAAGATGAATTTCAAACAGTGATTGGTGATTATAAATTATGTGAAAAAATGGCACACTTTGATTGTAAGTTGTTTATATTTTCTTTTTTCTTTTACATAGTTTTTAAAATTATTTTAGCTAAAAAATATGCTGAAGTTTGTAGTAATCAGCAACAACAGCATGCTGAACACCATGAATCAACGAAAAAAGATAAAAAAGGTGCAAGTGAAAAAAAAAATGAGCCAAAACAAGCAAAACAACCACAAGTTGAAAAACAACCTAAAAAAGAAGCTAAACCAAAAAAAGATGATCAAGCTCACGAAAGCGAGGGTGACGAAATGGAGGATGTTTTAGCACAAGAACCAAAACAGAAAGATCCATTTGCTGAAATGCCAAAAGGAACATTTAATATGGATGAGTTCAAACGTGTCTATTCAAATGAAGATACTAAAACAAAAGCTCTTCCCCATTTTTGGGAACATTATGATAAAGAAAATTATAGTTTGTGGCAATGCGAGTACAAATATCCTGAAGATCTCGGACAAATATTTATGACATGCAATCTTGTAGCAGGTATATTGTTCGATACGATTTATTAGCTGTAAGACACGAATCGTGTGCATTTTTTCCAATTATTCTCCGTTTGGATGACGAAGTAACAAGTAACGAAGTAACAATTGTTTGTTACTTCTGGTAAAATGACAAAAAACAAGTTTTTTTCTTTTTACTCATAAAAACTTTTATGTGAGGGTGAGAATGAAATACGTGCTAAAAGATGGTGCAACGTCTGATAAAGAAGTATCTGAAATATTTGTTAGCTATACAAACAAATATTTCAAATACTTCTTTGTCGGACGTTGCACCATCTTTTAGCACGTATTTCACCCTCATCCTCACCAAACCTTTTTCAAAAAAAGTTTTTATGAGCAAACAAAAAAAAACTTGTTTTTTGTTACTTTATCAGAAGTAACAAAGTAATCAATTAGCATCTGTTGTTACTAATTACTAATAACAAGTAACAAAATTGTTACTTGTTACTAGTAACGGTAATGGTAAACAGCCAGCCCTAAATGTGATGCAGTAAAGTAGATACTATTTGAAGGTTTTCACGAATGGGCGTATATAAATACTTACTGATGTTTTATATCTTTTGTTTTTCTCTAACCTTTTCGTTAAATGATTTGTCGTAATTGATTATAGGCATGTTTCAGCGTCTTGAAAAACTACGAAAAAATGCCTTTGCGAGTATGTGTGTGTGGGGTAAAGATAAAGATAATACGATTGCCGGTATTTGGGTATGGAAAGGACCAGGACTTGCATTTGAGGTACGCATACGATGGCTGAATTGTCAACTTTCTCACCTCGTCTATTGTTTGCTTGCTTTTAGTTATCACCTGATTGGCAAACAGATTATGAATCTTACACGTGGTCGAAATTGAATCCAGATGATGAAAAAACAAAACAACTAGTTGAACAATTTTTTGCATGGGAAGGTGAACATAACGGAAAATCGTTTAATCAAGGAAAAATTTTTAAATAAAAAAGAACTGAAAAACAAAGATATTAAGCACAAATTTTAGGATACTTCTATTTTTTATTTATTAAACATCCGAATGAAACGAATAATTCAATCTCTTTTTAGCAAACACACATGTATAGGTCATTTGTTTTTATGTTCCTCTATTTTTTTATAATCTATCTATGTTTGTGTGTTATATGGAAAGTGTTGAAACCGTCACTACTTTTGAAACTTCTATTCCTCTTGTTGTTGAGCGAATTATTTATAATAAAAAATAGAAATGTACTATGTATACTTGTGAGTCGACGTTAGAAATGTGTAAGAAAGATGTGATCAGTCATACTATAAAGACTCCAATGCTCCGGAGAATTCTCAGTTCTCGAGAACTGAGGGATCAGCAAAAAATTTATTAAAGCTGTGCAAAGGACGGAGGATGTCGAAGAAGTCTGTACGTCCACGCTCATTCTTATAAACTTTTGATCAGTATTTTTACGGTTTCTTGTTTTTATGTAAGCATGCACCGAGTAATTGACTAAGGATTTTATATTTTTTCAAAAATCTGGCGTTTCGTAAATTGCTTCGCTAAAAATTTTCTGACTCGGTAAGAATGTAGAGCGAACATTTGTCTCCAAAATGAGAGGCTGGACAGCTCCACATGATTTGTTTTAAGATTTTGGTAGCGATATCTCAAGAACACATAATCGAGTACTCGGTTAGTCTCTTATGGGATATCGCTGCCGAAATCTCAAAACAAATTATACAGGGTTATCCAATCTCTCATTTTGTAGAGAAATGTTCGCTCTAAATTCTTACCGAGTCGGAAAATTTTTAGCGAGGCAATTTACGAAACGCCAGGTTTTTGAAAAAATATAAAATCCTTAGTCAACTATTCGGTGCATGCCTGTTTTTATGTTGAGAAATAGTTCCTGTGAGTCATACTGGATGATCATAGCGAAAAGCTTATCGAGTGCATGTCTGTTTCGGAACACAAACTAAGGATCAGATCGACTTCAGCTTCTGGAAATCAAATCAAAAACAAGTAAAAAAATAAAATTATCTCGAACTTATTTCTGTAGTCAAAACTGTTCACGCACATCTTGTGCAAATACTCGTCTCGATGGAAATTTTCTAAAGTTCTTCTACAGTATATATCTAAACATGTTCTATGAACTCTGTCTTGAGCTATTTAATCGCGTGTACTAGACTCTTGACGTTGACTAAATGCCCAAAATAAGCCTGTGGTACTTTTGTAAGGGAACTGAACAGGCAGTTACCTGACACATCTAATTTTATTACGATGCCTCAATGATGACACTTCAGCTATACAGATAAATTTGTACTTTCCCCAATACGCTCTAGCGGTAATACAGTTCATATAGGTTGCTCATTGGAGAACAAGAATGAGACAATTTTAATACCAATATCTGCCCTCCAATAATAATAACTACCGGTTTAGTACTTTTAGTTGTTGGGCATCGAATCAATACGTCACTACCAACCATCTAACAACCCTAATCACCCGGACTGACAGGCACACAGAAAAAACTTGCCATTCGAAAAGAGTGGAGCTGTTTTGCACTTAGCAACACTTTTTTTTCCCGTCAACAAATATAATATCACGAATTAGACGTGATATAAAATTTAATATTCTCAATTTTAATAATATTTTAATAGATGCAAAAAAAATGGGTGCAGCATCCTAAAAAAACCTGGCCTGCGCATCCTTGCCAGCACTTGTCGATTTGGCACCGCTGCGCAGGGGTGCGGATGCACTATGAATGCAGCATTAGAGTGAAATCCATTATGGTGGGATGAGCTATGGATATCGTGTTAAAATGGGATCGGTTGTAAACACCAGAGTTTAGAACCCTAAATTCTAGTGTATGTTACTGAATACTATGCGTTATTAAATTCTGGCAAAGATATATTTCAGTATGAATTTTCAACTCAACACAATTCAGGACCTGTGCACTCATTTTTTATTTTTCTGACGGGAATCTATCTTCATCAGAAATTAATAACGCATAGTAGAATTCAGTGATATACACCAAAATTTAGGGTTCTAAACTCTGATGTTTTATCCATCATCCATCAGAATTTAGTACAATAGGCACTAGAATTCAACTTCTTTTTGCATCCGATAGGTGAGAGTTAGAAACATACGCCAGAATTTAGGATCAAAACGATGGCTCCATTCTGATGAAAATCACGAATTCTAGTTTTCCTGGAACTGTGACAGCATCTTTGTACAAAGCTGTAGTTCTTGAGCACACCGTGTTTTAGTCGGACTTTTCTTCAAGAACATGATGCGATCACTTTTAGAAGTTTACATCGATCCCACGATGCCTTCAGTAAGGTAACGTTTGCCGTATGTGAAGAAAACATTCACGCCTGGACTTTCAGAGAATGTGTATCCGTAAATACTAGACGCTAATATCAGTTCGCTGCTAGAGCCAATCTAGCATCCGGTGAAAGAAGCGGAATGGCTTAGCCCCAATTCTCTCTGCGTCAAGCAAGGCCGAACCGATACTCGCTACATCCTGAAAGTCACCAACGACAAAGCGATCTTACACCGAAGATACTCACGATTGCGATGACATCAACCTTTGATACATTTCTCACTTTAGTGAATTTTTATTTTGAGATTTTGCGATTTGGCATATTTAACGAAGTTGTACATAGTAGAAGTCCCTAGATTTCACACATTTTGTGAACGAGAGCACCTGTTTTGATACCCAGAATAGTTAAACAAAAAGATTTCAACTTTGTGACAACAAAAGTAGAAGTCCCTGGAAAAAGGATTCATGTTTCCATACTCTTTCGTTCGTTATTAACTTTACTTACTCGCTATGCACTTACTTTGTATATTACTATTTTTTCATGTTGTTCCTTTTTGAAAAGTGAAAAAAGCAGATATAAACTACCAAAAATTCGAGTGTAAATGCGCAGGAAACAATAAACTAAATCTTTTCAGAGGAATGCGCATCTAATCAGCATCTTTTCAGGCAGGGTGCATAAATTCTAAGGATGGCAGCAGTGCGCATTTTTTTTGATATCTGTCCGACATTTTTCTGCAGGGATGCGCACGGATGCTGAAATAGCAGGGACGCACATTCATATGGCATTTTCTTGGCAGAGGTGCGCAGGGATGCCGGATCTGGCAGCCTTGCGCACCCCTGCTATTTTGGATTCTGTAATTTTTTTTTATAGGGTGAATCTAGTTTAGATGTTGACGTTGTTTTCACATTATTATATATTTATATCGATAACATGAAAATTTGTACTATATAGAAATAATTAGACTAACGCTCCGATTCTAGACGGTTGAATACCTTGTGAGAAGGTTGTACTCTAGGTACAGTGTAATTTCACGTCTTTTTTTCTCTTTACGGCTTATTATTCACTTTCTTTTGTTAAACACTTTTTTGTCAGTTTCAACAGTATGGCATGGAGTTCGCATTCTTTTCTACCTTAAATACTTGTGCGCCTAAGGCTTCAGGATTATTAGTAGTGGTGTTTTTCTTTTATTCAATTGTCTTCTTATCTATTCCTAATGAAGCGCTCTAAACATCCTTCTTTTTGATTGTCATCTAAGTGATGGACAAAAGCGACGACAAGCAGCCACCTTCGCCGGAATTCCAACAGCTTCTTCTTCATAGCCTACAACAACATTATTAGAAGTAAGAACCATAACATTTTTCATCCAGGCGCTAATAGATTTCTCTCTATTGCACATATCTTGCAACAAAACAAAAACTGAGAAAAGTTGTCAATTCTGGTGGAGTTTTGTTTACAACTTATGCCCAAGTATAACATATAACGAAGCAACTGAAATTGCGTAATGGTAATAAGTTATTGCCTACAAAAGTTGAGAAAAAGCTAGAGTGAACCTTTGTCGAATATGGGAGACTTGTGGACCAAAGAAAACATTACGCTGGCGTTTATTGAGACCAACTGATAAGTAAAGCGGTGACCCAAATTTTGCCTTTATAACAGAATTTTATGCATTCCATTTTTACGTTTATTTAGCATCAGGTTCGTTATTTCAACAAAGATAAAATTTCTACTATATTATTAGAATCTCAATCGTGTCGAGACACCATAACGCCAGTGGAAATCTTTTTAGAAAATGGCAACTTAATTATTTATTACTCACACATTCGCGTTAAAGAGCTAAGAGATGAAAATGTTTTCGATAGATCTACATCTATGACCTACGTACAGAAAGTGCGAGAGTTTCTTTCTGAATTGATTCCATAGCTCAGTTTTTCATTAGAAGAACTAGCAGAAGAATATTCCGTGTTTTATGGAAACATAAAAGCAAAAGTTGCATCGAAAGATAATATTAAGTTCTCAAACATTAATCTATGGTATTAAACAAATGGAAAAGTTCCCGGATAAATATAGCAAAACATGACTTCAAAAATGTATATTTTTTCTATTTCTGGAAACGCTACACAAAATAGCACATGCCTGCATTTGGAATCAGGACGTCGATTTATGAGCGAAGAAAGAGACGAAGGAATTGTATTAAACACACCAGCAACTCATGCTTTAACTGCAGAAAGTGGAAATGCGCTCGAACGGTATTTATGCGGTTCTGTAGTCGATACCCTCGGTTACATGACTACAGAGAACAGTACAGAACTTTATTTTGTGACTGAACTCTTTCTGTTGAAAACTAAACCATCACTTCTCATTAGCACTAATACTATCGCTTTATTTTTCAAATCGGATTTGAGAACACTCGACAGATTTCCAAAATTAGCCAGCGGTATTATAACACGAACATTTTACAAACATGCGAAGAAGATATTCGTTTGCATCCGTACCACGAAGAGGACGGTTTTTATAACTAAAGCTTAAATGTATTCGTATAAAACAATCAATAGTCAATTCAGGAACAAATGTTTAGGCATTTAATATGTCAAGGTAGAAAAAAATTATTGTACAAGAACCCTTTGTATAGAGATTTGCACGTAAGGCTCGCGATAGGAGAAAAAAATTTAGCGGTTTTTAAAGAACAAAAAGGGACTGGTTTTGGGATAAGAAGAGCAAAGGAAAATAGAACTGATAAATGCATAAAGCTCATCGCAGACTTTGATTTAGAGAACTTCAGAAAAGTGGAGCTCAGAAAAGGATTCTGTCAGAAAACGGCAAGAACTTTAATACTTTCGTTTTTGAGCAACGACTTAAAGATGAGAAATACAATTAATTTTGCAGCTAGTTTTAGTTTCATCTTTTTTAAGGCATTTTTTGACTTTTTCCGGTCATTGTCAACACGTATGCAGAAAATTGTAATTTTCTTTAAAATGGTTGTCGGAAGTTACCTGCTAAAAATGGGCTGAAAAAGACTTTATTGCCATATTACAATCTCTGAACTAGTCATTGAAAGTAGTGGGGCTCGAGAGAGAAAACCTTTTTAGATATTGAGTGTCATTTTCGTTACAAATTTTTCGAGGGGGAGGGGGGAAAGTTTATGGACTTACTCCGAAATATGAAATTGGACTTACCCCCAGTTTTTGAAACAAAATTCTGTTTGTGACAAAAGTGCTGACCAAAATAAAACCTGATGACCAAAAATTTCTTTCGTTTAACGTTTTTTCTAACTTCTTTTTACTTTTCCCTAACTATCATCAACAAATATTTTAACATTTTGAGATTTTGCTCTTGTAGGTTTAGCATAAAAATTTGAAACAATATAGTCAATATCATCATTGTTCCTATACGATTTCATTATTGCATATTTAACTGTTGGTAAAACTTGTACCATTTAGCTAAACGGTAAACACCACATTCTGATAAACGTATTATAATTTCCAGTGAATCAATTATTGTTCCAATTGTTGAACGAAATTGTGGTAGTTGTTTTTGTAATAAATTTTTCTTTAAAATTGCATTTTCTGTTTTTTCGTACGTTGATGTATTTGTATCTGTATGTTTAAAATGTATTGAGTTACAATAAAACAGTAAAATATTCATTATCAATCAATTTATTATCATCATGTTCTTGTGGATTAGAAAAATCAGTAATATTACCAACAACCATTCGATAATTTTGATTAAAACAATCTTCGATTGATTCTATAAATTTATCCAGAAATAAATATCCGTGTTTAATTAATTTATCAATATTTATATCATGTTTTTGATCATTTGTTGTCGTATGTCGCCCACTACGACGTGTACATTGTGATGTTCGTGGAACAGTGTTGTCAATTGTAGCTAATGTTTCTTTATATAATTTAAAATCAAATACGTTCATTGTGTTAGCAATAGCTTCTTTTGTCGCATCGAGATCTATGCAAAATTTATCTGATGTTGATGATCGATGTTCAATTTCTTTTAAAAAAAATGTGAATGCCTTCCTTAATGCATTTTCCATCACATTTATTTCAAATATTGTTGTTTTATTAATTATTTGTAATGCATAGCCCTTTGCTGTTGGTGAACCATCATCATTTTTTTCTACTATCTGACTTAATGTAGCCACTATTGCTGCTAAATGTTTCCACATAAAACTAATTAATTGGTAATGATATATCCATCTTGTATCACTTAGCGTTGGAATTGCCTGTGTTGCTTTTTTTGACCGAGGTTTTTGTTGGGCATATTGTACACGATGATTCTTGTTGTATTTTGCGATGATGTATCATTAGTATTATCGTCATTATCTGATTCATTATTACTAACGGGTGTTGCAAAAGTTCCTGGAATAATATATCTTCGTTTTTCTTCTTCTAAAACATGTTTTGGAAAAATGAAAAATAGCTATTCAGAATCTATATTTGAGGAGCTTTCTAACTGTATGTTTAACAAATTTCTATCACTTGTGACCTTCGAGCAGTAAGTGCATCTTTGAAGGGCACTAACATGTAATCTGTAAAGAAAAGAAACTTGTGTATTAATTTCAGCAGTCACAGCATTATAATGAGATGATCAAACTATGGTTTCCGTAGGAGATTACAGGGTAGACTTTTCTCTACAAAATAGACTCTCCAGAATTATTTTGCGTATTGAAAACTGAGCATCCTTTTAAGTTATGCAAAGCCATCGTTTTTTGAAAAATCGAGTTTTTTCTGACATAGAAACTAGTGTTCGCAAAATAACAATAACTTCTAAACCTTTTATCCTATCGTATGTCGTTTTGCAGAGAAAAGTCTGCTATAATAGCGTACATTGTTAATATAATTCTACTCAAGGGCATTGAACTTTAGACTGGAAAAAATTCCATGTACTTCTCTTTCTAGACCAAACGTTGGTGTGTTTGAAAGATTCACATTGTGCTCGTAGGTCAGAAGCGAAAAAAGTTTTCGAACAGTAGCTGAGGAAGTTCTTCAAATGTAGATTTCGAAGGACTTGTTATTTTTAGCACAAGAAAAATGAAATGACATTTGCACAAGAACTTTTGCAACATCCGTTTTTTACGGACTAGTTTTCTGTGTCAATCAAAGATGCGCTTACTGCTCGAAGGTCACAAGTGATAAAATTTTTTTGAACATAAAGTTAGAAAGCTCTTCAAATGTAGATTCTGAATAGCTATTCTTCGTTTTTCCAAAACATGTTTTAGTAGAAGAAGAACGAAGAAACATTTTTCCACGAACTTTTGCAACATCCGTTATTTCGAATCGTTGCTTCTATTTGTTGTGACCATTTTAACGGTATAACACGAAATGCTCCATCACGAATAAAAATAAGAGTAGAACGTACCAATGGGTACGTTCATTAAACAAGGAAACCAATTGCGTCTTCGACACATAAATTGAGAAGATGTGATTGACAATATTAGTAAAGAGCAAATGCACACCATCTAGCACGAAAATGTCCTTGTAATTGAAAACGAAGGGCTGAAGCTCCGTCGTAGCATTGACATACAATTATAAATTCTTTCTCTGCTTCAATTTAAATATTTGTCAAAAATTCATATAATTTATTGTATAAATTCTCTCCAGTTTGCGATTTGATAGGTGTTACACGAAAAATTTGTTCGATTATTGATGATGTTGTTGTATGAAAAAAAACGTAGACAAATAACAAGTTGTTTTAAACTGTTGATATCAGTTGTTTCATCAAGCATAATTGTTAAAAAGTTTGTATTTGTTAATTTGTCGAATTGTTTTCCACAAATATGATTTAACACTGAGCAACCATTCAGCCCGACTCTGCCCGTTTCAATATCGTCGTTTGTTGTTTGAAACTGATAACCATTTTGTTACTGGTTCTGCCGAATTGCTAGCTTGTAATTTGATAAGATCTTCGAAATTATTTAATGCAAATTCTTGCGTTAAGATAAATAAAAATGTTCGTGCACGTAAATAATTTAATATACAATTATTCATGTTTATTGCATTGATTTTCCAATTTTTCTATTATTGTCTTTTGTTAGCTTTACACTTACTGTGCTTATTGACTGTAAATGGATCTGACTTACTTCATGGGTTGTAATACCATCAAGACCTTTTTTTTAAATTTGTAATATGGGGTTTAACAATAAATGCACCCTGTGCTCGTTGTATTCGAACAGCATCTGTTGCATATTGTGCACAAACAGAACATACTAATCCATAAATATTATTGGTACAAACGGCTCTTAGCCATTGTCAACGACTACTAGACCACCATCTTGAACTGAATTTACCATGTGTTTTACTGTTGGTTTTTTGTGTATCAAGTTCCCAGTTAATATTTGGAAAACGATCTACATAATCTAATTCATAATCATTTATAAATAATACTACAGGTATAATTGTTTTGATAGGTGTTGGTCGAGATGTTTGTTATCATGCAAAATATTTTCTGTAAATACAACGTCTTCAGGGCTAGTATTGTGGGTTCTCGTTTCACGATCTTCACTATTGTCATCATTATTATTACAACTACCACTAACGTTATTAAATGTTGTATTGTATTAAATGCATCGATACTCTCTGTTGTGCTAGCATCCGCGTCAAATTGATCAGGTGTATTTGTTAAAATATCAGATTGTGATAAAACAAATGTATTATTAATTATTGTACCATCGTTGATGTTGTTGCTGTTAATGCTTAGGTTCAAAGATGCATCATAATTATTAATATTAAAATAATGTTGTTGCTGTTGAATCATCATTAAATGCACTGATTGCATTAGTAATTGCTAATGTGTTTGTCAATAACTGGATTAACAACTTCACCATTATCCCTAGAGGAAGAATTTTTGAGAATTTTTATAAGTTTCTGATGAGATTCTTACAAGATTCTTATATAAGGTGTTGCACGGAAGTGATAAGAAATTCACTGGTTCTGATAAGATTCTTATAAGAAATTTATAAGATATTCATAAGAGAGTAACAAGCCGTCTTATCACTTTCTTATGAATATCTTATAAGAATCTTATCAGTTTCTTACCAATTTCATATGAACTTCTTATA